AAATTGACCAAAAAATGATTTTTTTTTATAATGTATTTATTCACATTGTCATGGATCTGTTTTATCAATGCTTTTCTGCTATCACTATTAATAATAATAAAAGGTTTGTAATAAATAGTGTTCCATTAAAATTCATTGGTTAGAATGAATTTCAGCAAACCTCATTTATGAGATACCAACTCACTGATGACAATAGTAGACGATGGCACGACTTCGTGGATTGGTTGAAGTTAGATAATTACACCGCTGGATGCTGACCGGCTCAGCGATCTAGTGGTTAAGCGCTCGCGCACGAGAGTGATAGGTCCTGGGTTCGGATCTTACGGGGCGGGATAGTGGTTGCGCACTGCTGAGAAGTCCCAAAATAAGACGAAACGGCCGTCCAGAGCTTCCAGGTTTTTCATGGTGGTTCAGCTTCAATCGACTCGTGATTTCAACAATTAAAAAGACCTCAATAATTTTAACAAAAAAATCCAATTTGACAATAATATTTCATAGGTTTGGCAGTAGGTTGGCTGTTATGTAATCTACAAGCTATCGGCTTATATCCTGTTGCCAGTGCTACTTTGATTTGATTTAAAGTAGCTAAAGACAATCAACATGGTGATGAAAACTTGGGTTTCATGATGGTTGCTACTGCAACAGATGCCCATATGTAGTTCGAAAAAGTATCACGAAATGTCTCAGTCAAAGATAATATTACTAGGATTTATGAACGACAACTAACCTAATTTGGGATTGAGACTAGTACACTAATAAGTTATTTAGTAGTAACCATTCTCAAATCATCTATCTTCTAATGTTAACTGATTTCAACAAGTTGCATGGCAATATGGCAACTATTCTCAGTAAATTAACATTGACATGAAATTCATTTGGCTTTGGGTGGTTAGTTTCGATAAGCAATAAACGTTGAACTTGGAATTCGATAGAAAAACTAAAAACCTGACAATATGATACTGGTTATGGCTAAGTGACCACCTAACATTTAAATAACGTAACCCGATATTATGCTTTCTCCTAATTTGTTTCCAAAGACTAAACACTAAATAAATGATGATACAGCTTCGAAGTATTGATAATAGAATTGAATTCATATTTAGACTGGTGGAATTTGTTCAGTGCTGAAAACCAAGAAGACCTAACATTGGTTGTAACATGATGATGTACAGATACAGATGTATTTTTCTAACTTTGCTCGTCATATCTGTTAAAATGTGTGCAATGGTTATTATTATTATTATTATTATTATTATTATTATTATTATTATTATTATTAGTGCCTTTATCCAATAATACAATATAAAATCCTCAGCACAAAGTATTTCAACAAGTTTCCGCTTCTTACTTCTTGATCGATCATGACGGTAAATATTGAATGGTTGTCAGTTAGATGTTGGCAGTTCAGGAATCAACATCTGAATAATGTACATTCTTTTTGATGCATATTGTTAGCAACCATGATGTCTCGGATTGGGCTCTTTCCTAACTTGTAAAGCGAAATGTCGTATACTTTCACAAACGCTCCTGAATAAGTTATGAGACTAATGGTCATAATGATGTGTTAAAACAAACAAAAGGACAGATAGCATGTTGAAATATCTAGATGGTAGGGACAGGTAGCCCAGATATTCGTGCAGACCGCAAGTTCTACCACAGATTGTATATTGTATTCAAAATATTCAATCATCAAGACTGATTAATTAATGAATGAAGGATTATTTTTATCTAGTTCAATTTTGGGTCAGTTCTAACTTGTGAAATTTATAAAATTCATGTTCTAAATTACAATAAATCTGATTTAAACTGAATGATTAAATGTCTATGATTGAAATATTTTGAACGTAAATATCATTCCCACCCACACACACATACACTCAACATACTTCTTCGTGATCATATTAAGAAATAAGTGGTTCTTATCAGAAATGAGGTTTTGTGGAGATTATAGTAATTTAATAGTTGAATTCATGAGTTCACTGCACCGAAACCAATCCACAGATTAAACATTAAACCTTTAGATCTAGTGACGAATATACTATCTTCAAACCACTAATTTAAGACTTTTAATTTCACATAACTAACTTCATTCAATTCGTGGTATTAAATGATAAATATCTAATACTTCTTAATATATTGCATGTCTTTAGTTTAGTTGTTCATTGGCTTATAGAAATCATAATGATATCCTGTATATATTTGAAATAAATAACGTGAGTCCTTTCCTAGACATACTTCTAAGTAGATGAGGAGATGGCTCAAACAAACGATCCATTTTTAGAAAACCAACGTAGACAGGTCAATACCTTACTTATTATAGTTATTGCCCTGTGCAATACAACCGGGGTTTGATAAGGTGCCTATTCAACAGGCTTGTACAAATGACGCTATTGATGGTGATTTTACGTTGTTAAAAGAAAATAATAATGGAAAATAGTTATCCCCTTAAGTTCATAAATAGATAGATAGTTCATGGTACAGTGAGACTTACTATAGCTTTGGCAGAAAAAAAGCTTGTCTACATCACCTTACCATTTTGAGATGATTCAAATAGCCTTTTATTGAAACAAAGACTTAAATCAGTCATTAACAAGATGTACTGTGCAGCAAAGGTCATTATCAAAGTAACAACAAAGTTCATGTTTCATCGAAAATCTAAAAGACAAGAAAACGATCGCGTCACATCTCATTGTGTTTACCAATTTAAATAGGAGTAATCGTGATCGCAAAATCAGATTGTGTGAACATGTACCTAAATGGTTGCAGGAACAAATAGAATCAAATAACCCAATAAGAGTAGGGGATAAACATCCATCATTCTCTATTGCCAAACGCATAACATAACACAAAAGACTGATCTTAATTCGGCTTTTGTGGTGTTGTATAAAAGTGTAAAAGGGCGTACACTAAAGTTCAATGAAGCCTTAACCATGCGAAAATTCAAACCCCCATTGTGTATTCAAAAATAAGAAAACAGTTTGTTCTCACCCATAAACCCACCCTGATAATACTAGCCCATTATTATCCAATGATGATGTCGAACATTATTATGTTCTTTATTATTCATGTCTCTTCTTACTATCCATTTCTCTTCTAGTTGACTTAACAAGTATGTTATGTGTGATCAGATTGTATGTCATTGTTACTCACAATCTCTTACAAAAACTTCAATGAGAATATTTCTAATCTCTTCATCATCTCAAAGAGCAGTTAGACTTTTTTCTGTATTCTCATGATTTCTTTATCATTGACAGGTGTGTTATGCTAATTATTCTATAAAATTTTTGGTCTGTATTCAGTATACTTTAGTGGCCCCTTATCTGACTTCAATGGGATCGTATGAATGTTATTGAATGATTACTGTTAAGCTATACGTATCTATGCAAATATGAATTGTGACCAATAGTGGAATCCAGGACGCGCATTTTGTCCTATTTGGGACTCGTCAACTGGATGTGCCTGCATTAGAGTTCATGTTCACCCCGGGACTCGAACCCAGTACCGTTCGCTTCAAACGCCATCACTTTAACCACTTAGCTACTGAGTTCTGATGGGCAACCCGCACAGGATGCACATATGCCAACATGAGACTGATCAATTGCAGTCCTAAATAACAATGAGAAGATGCAAGTAAAACAATATCAAGTGAATTTATACATACCTATCTTAGTAAATAATTTTCGACTTAATCCGTGTTAGTGAATATAACGGAATTATATAAGCTGAATGAGAGAATGAATTTTAAATATGTATTTTTCACGCACTCAGTGATTTGAACAGACATTCAGGTAGACAAAATAAAGAGGGAATAACGAAGCAGACTGAAGAATGCATGTGAGACAACTCGATTTACGGATAAGAAATGTATACACAGATATGCTAGTTAATAAGTGAATAATTAACAAGGTCGAAATGTAGCTTAAGAGGGATGAATGAATTGATCTGTTAGAATAAGTTAAATGGGTTTAACATAGTCACTGACACTACAGTACGAAGATGAATATGATTGTTTCATTTGAGTTTATGTTACAAACCTAAACTGTATATTATACAAACTCAGAAATTCAGAATGTTGTTTGAAAATTGTTAAACAACAGATCAAGGGTCAGAAGATTAACTATAATCAAAATATCATTTCAACGATTTAACAAACATCATTTATCACTATTGAATTGATTAAACTGTAATGCGGCGTCGAGTCGCGGTTGACTATGATCATCACTACAGGAGGACTACGTGCCAGTTAACCGATGAGATCCCCCGTATGCCAAATATCAGAAGGCCGTTGATGGTTGCAGTCGAGATGTATTTGTTGGCGATCTCGTGGTGTCGAAAGAATTTAGAGATCGTGTCAAAGGAGTACATGTGTGGTCACTGAGCGTAACCGAACTCATGCAAGGTCACAATCAACGGAAGAATATATGTGTTTTGGTACAGTTAAACAAACAAGTACAGTAAAACAATCCCTGGTACTGTTGATTATAATAATAATTGTTTCCATAACACCAATCGCGTTCTCTTAATAAAAGTAGTTCACTACAAAACTATTATTCAAAATGAATCATAATTAAGCAAATAAATATCATTATACTAATATGAACAGTTCTCGACATATAGATTATCAAGGATGATCTCAAATTTTGATCCGATCTAAATAGTCAAATAATTTAATCATTCACCTTTAAAATCATTATTGAATTCAATACAAAATAAAGAATTTTATAAAACTTTAACAGGATATTGAATAGTTTTAATTATGTCAAAAAAATTAAACATCTAGCACCTTTTCCATATTGATAATAATAATAATCAACCATTTATACAGTGTCTACATCATATAAACAAATTAACTTAATTCTTATATAGAATAGTCCATAGTAACATGCTGGTTACCTGTTCACAACACCTATCTATACACAAGTAAAATATGAATGAAATAGATTTATGAAAAACCAAACAAACATCATTCATTAATATGACTGTTATATTTGTCATTACATTCATATGATGTCGTTTGATGATGATGATGATGATGATGATGATGATGATGATGATGATGATGATGATGATGATGATGATGATGATGATGATGATGATGATGATGATGATGATGATGATGATGATGATGATGATGATGATGATGATGATGATGATGATGATGATGATGATGATGATGATGATGATGATGATGATGATGATGATGATGATGATGATGATGATGATGATGATGATGATGATGATGATGATGATGATGATGATGATGATGATGATGATGATGATACAATAACTGGAATCATGTGCATAATGTTACCCTTTAGTTCCTTTTAGTAGAGATTTGATAATCGTGTCTGACAAGGATCCACTTAACCAAATTGAATAGAAAGTAAGATGTTATAGTGAAGTATCATTATTATTAACTCTTGATGATGATAGTCAGTCATATAACCAAGTATAATGTTGATCTGTATTAATAATATCTAGATGATCTGGATTATCTAGATATTCCGAAGATTTGAATAATTGACTGATTAATTGATTGATTATTAGAAATAAATTGAAAATTGTAAAGATTTTTTTGATGTTTTGATTGTCATATTTCTCAATAGTATGAACAAATACATGATACTAATTTGAAGAAAACTACACAAATATAATCCGATGTATTAATTGCTCTTTAAACGACAGGGGTAGAAATTCACCTTAGTGTTGTCCTTCTTAGTTTTTGAAGAAAAAAATTTATCTTGGTTCTAGTTCATTGACGAATAGATTGAGTTGGACCAAGTGAATTCAAGAGATTTGTTAAGTTTGAAAAGAGTTTTCATAGTAGATTCACCATTACATAAAAAAAAATTATTTCAAAGTAGCATGAATATACATAACAGAATTAAAGAAAAGAGAGTTAGAAACATAGGGCGGCCTGTTTGAGCATCTGGGCTACCCGTTCCTGCCATCTAGATATTTCAACAAGTTATCTATTTTTGTTTGCTTTTAATATATCGTTATTTTTATTGATCGCATAACTTATTCTGCTGCGTTTCTGAAAAGTGTACAACCTTTCGTTGTCAAAGTTACAAAAAACTCAATAAGAGACAATGTGGTTGCTGGCAATATACAACGAAAAGAATGCACATCATACAGATGTTCATTTAGTGAACTGCTGACATCTAACTGGCGATCACTCAATATTTATCGCCAGGACCGACCAAGAAGAAAGAAACGGAAACTTGTTGAAGTACTTTACGCTGAGAATTCTATATTGTACCAAAAATATAATATTGAATAAAGCTGATGATGATAGTAATAATAAATAGTTAATGAATTTCTTTTATTAAATTACATGGATAACTTGTTGGTTTTATCTGAGAAAAGCATTTATCATAAACATCTTAACTAAAACCACTTATTTACTTACACTTGTTACCCTTCGTCGAGGAGCGTGGGCTGCCCACCAGCACTCTCCATCCAACACTGTCCTGCGTTAACCTTTCCAGCCCTTTCCAGTTGTTATTCATCCTTTTCATATCTGATTTCAATCCCCGACGCAGTTTTCTCTTCGGTTTTCCTTTTTTCCGCTTCGCTTCAGGATTGTAAGTTATAGCTTGCCTTGTGACGCAATTTAATTGTTTCCCTAATGTATGTCTTATCCACTTCCAATGTGTTTTCCTAATTTGTTCTTCATTTGGAAGCTGGTTCGTTGTCTCCCACAGTAGGGTGTTGCTGATGGTATCCAGTCAGTGGATCTTGAGTATCTTGCGTAGACATCTATTTATAAATACTTGTACCTTCTTGATAATGGTTGTGGTAGTTCTCCAAGTTTTACCTCCATACAGTAGTCTAGTGAGGCTCTTTATTTTGTCATCATTTAGATCGGACGATGTTGTCGACGGGCTCTCCAATTTAGTGGCCCAGGATCTGACTCCAAGTAGATCGTATGAACGATTGCTATTAAATAATTGCTGTCGAAATGTATATGTCGCCTATCCTCGTATATAATCATTGACCTAAATCGCGTTAGTCAATAACACAGTGAATACATATATTTTATATATGAAGCGAATGGAATAAAGAGAAGCGAAACGATGCCCAGTGGAGATGGCGAGTATGCCAACTCCATTTAGCCAAGAGTTAATCAATGTTTATGGTCACACAACAATAGGCTAAAGACATGTGATGAATAAGATGAAAAGTGTACACACACGTACACGCTCATATAAAAACAGTCAAGGTTGATAAGCGAATAATTAAGAAGGTCAAGATATGACTAAATTAGAATGAATAGATTGGTATATGGTATATGGTATATGGGCTTAACATAATAACTGACAATACAGTAGAACTGTCTCGACGCACATATTGAAGATTGATTTTGATATTGGTTAGTAAATGTTTAAAGTTTCATATGTTCTTCAATTGTAGGGATGAGGATCTTGCTTTGCCAACACTCGCCCTTACGTCTGCATCGAATCCTTTTTGTTCATTGATGATGCAGACCATATCATGTACTGAAAGTTCCCACTTGTTTCACTGTTCCTCTTTCAAGTGTGATTGGTTTGGTTGGTGTTTTCTGTGTTGTATTTGAGGATCTTGAGTTTTTCTTTGTGTATATTGAGGCCCACTGATTCAGAGGTTGCTGCTAGACTAGTGTCATTTAAAAACTGTAACTTACAAAAGTTATCGTTCACCAATGCACATAGTTATTTCATTTACGATTATTCAATATAAACAACAATATAACAACGAAAGAATTATATCAGAAATCATCTGCAACTTATGCTTTAACACATTTGTAATAATAATGCAATGAAAAGCTAAATAACAGTCGTTACATTCATTCCATGAAACATTAACATTGAAAGAGCTGTTTTTAATTTTTTATCTGTAAAAGTGTCAATCTTAATATACAAGAATATCATGTTGAGAATGTAGAGACTCAATGACACTAATGGGTATAATGATGTTTTAAAACAAACAAAATAACAGATAACTTATTGAAATATCCAAATGGCAGGAACAGGTAGCTCAGATATTCATACAGGCCGCCTGGAAATACAATCATAATTACTAAATTGAATTCAACAAATATATATGAAATTGAAATTGTAATCAATTTCTAGACTTTCATAAATCTACACTTCTTGAAGTATAAACAAATTCAAGAAATATCAATATTGAACAAGGTCCACATTGAATATAAGTTGCATTTTAAGCATCAAGACTGAACAATAAGTTTAATCCCTTAATAATATGAATAATCTAAATATTTGAAGAATGAGGTTAAGAAAATCAAGATAATTTGGGTGAGATGACCTTTAAGCAATACTAAGACGACCTTGAAAATGTTCACCTACTAACGAGGACTAAATGCGGTTTATAAACCAATTTGAGGAATTGTAATTATGATTTACAGTTTATAAATAAGGTTATGAATTAGATTTGGGGTTTTCATCACGAACTGACATTAGAGAAAATGACAAAAACGCTATTTAGCCAAATGGATAAGTGAATTTCGCATCAAAATCTGAGACTTGTTATCTTATACCTGATTGATTCGTCTATAAATTATAGAACAATTTCTGGATTTTCATAACTTTTCAAAAACGAAAACAGAAAATTGAAATTAAGTAGTTTATTTGAAACTTGAGGTTATGGCCCTTGGGATTTGACTTTAGTTAGATCGTATGAATAATTGTTATTGAAATATACATACCATCAATCCTCGTATACAATGATCGACTAAAATCGTGTTATTCAATAACAAAATACGTAAATGAACTTTTGAATACGTATATTTTGTACACTCATTGATCTGGACAAAGAGGAACAAAGCGAAACGAACTGATGCACAGTGAAGAATGCATGTGAGCCAACTCCATTTCATCAAGCATTAATCAATATTTATAGACGAACAAAAGAATAAGTTACAGACATGTGATGCATAGGATAAGAAGTGCACACACAAACACATACGCTCATATAATAACGATCAGGGTTGATAAGGCAATGAATAACAAGATCATAACATGACTCAAGAAGAATGAATAGATCGTTCTGTCCAGTAGCTAGAATAAGTTATATAGGCTTAACCTATTAACCAACTCTATTATAGTTTCCATAAAAATTATAATAAGAATCATTCACTTATTAAATATTATGTAATAAACAGTATCGTGTGTACGGCTGCCAAAGAAAACTTCGATTCTTGATCGACGGTTCTTACCATGCAACAAATCACAAGGGCGAAACTGTGATGGTTAACTCCGCCTTGAACCCCTTCCGAGGGCTACCGCCGGTCCCAAGCCCGGATAAAGGAGGAGGGTTGAGCATGGGGTTAGCGATTCCATCCCGTACCAAACGAACTCGCTAAAACACGCTAACCAACCAAAATCAACTCATCAATAAACCGTATCATTTAGATTAAATTAGCCAAATCTAATACCTCTGGATTATTATAAAATTATAATTAAGTAGTAAAATTATTAATGAATGAAATATATAAATAAAAACAATTAAAATGTTTATCATCATCATCATAATAATAATAAACAAATTAAAAATTATTTTTACTATTTGCCAAAATACATATATTACTATTATTATTAGTAGTAGTAGTACTACTATTATTATTATTATTATTATTGTTATTATTATTATTATTATTGAAATGAATATACAGGTCATTTATATAATTGAGATCATTATTATAAATGACCTAGTCAAATAGTTGAATAAAGAATAAAATTTTAGAAAAATTATTCTGAAATGAACAAAAAAATTACTTATTTTCACTTATAATCAAGGATGATGCATGAAATGAAAAACAAAATCATAATTATTAATTCAATTTAATTTTACAATCATTAAACACGATCATCATCATCATCATCATCATCATCATCATCATCATCATCATCATCATCATCATCATCATCATCATCATCATCATCATCATCATCATCATCATCATCATCATCATCATCATCATCATCATCATCATCATCATCATCATCATCATCATCATCATCATCATCATCATCATCATCATCATCATCATCATCATCATCATCATCATCATCATCATCATCATCATCATCATCATCATCATCATCATCATCATCATCATCATCATCATCATCATCATCATCATCATCATCATCATCATCATCATCATCATCATCATCATCATCATCATCATCATCATCATCATCATCATCATCATCATCATCATCATCATCATCATCATCATCATCATCATCATCATCATCATCATCATCATCATCATCATCATCATCATCATCATCATCATCATCATCATCATCATCATCATCATCATCATCATCATCATCATCATCATCATCATCATCATCATCATCATCATCATCATCATCATCATCATCATCATCATCATCATCATCATCATCATCATCATCATCATCATCATCATCATCATCATCATCATCATCATCATCATCATCATCATCATCATCATCATCATCATCATCATCATCATCATCATCATCATCATCATCATCATCATCATCATCATCATCATCATCATCATCATCATCATCATCATCATCATCATCATCATCATCATCATCATCATCATCATCATCATCATCATCATCATCATCATCATCATCATCATCATCATCATCATCATCATCATCATCATCATCATCATCATCATCATCATCATCATCATCATCATCATCATCATCATCATCATCATCATCATCATCATCATCATCATCATCATCATCATCATCATCATCATCATCATCATCATCATCATCATCATCATCATCATCATCATCATCATCATCATCATCATCATCATCATCATCATCATCATCATCATCATCATCATCATCATCATCATCATCATCATCATCATCATCATCATCATCATCATCATCATCATCATCATCATCATCATCATCATCATCATCATCATCATCATCATCATCATCATCATCATCATCATCATTATAATAATGAGAATGAGAATGAAATGTAGATCAAGTTAAAATATACAACTTAAATTTGATCTTATTGTACAAGTAAGTAACTATCAAGAGTCAGTAGTTAAGTGGATGATCCTGTGATGATATTTGAAGGGAATGGAACTAGGTTCAAATCCTGAAGTGAACAATAACTCTGAGATAAAGGTTTATCCAGTTGATGAGTCTTAAAATAGGACGAAATGTGCATCAAACTAGATTCCATTGCTAGCAATTATCTATCTTTGTTTAAAAAGCCTATGACTTAAGCCTATATCAAGACAATCCTCACACGATACACATATTCTAATAAGAGACTAATGAATTGTAGTTCTAAACAAAATAAGAAAGATACAAGTTAGACAGTACCAAGTGAATTAAAATAGAATTTTGTTATCATGAAATCCTATTTGTATTGATACTTATGAATAGAATGAATTGAAAGAATTAGAGATAAAAGTTTTCTATTTACGATATTTTTAAAATTAAATAAATATGAACATACTACTTTTACTTTTGGTACATACATCTGTAAGTTAAAATGTGAATTTCACCATACATTTAGCTTCTATCAGGTTGCTGTATTTGAATCCATGCTAATTATTATTTCAACGCATGTACTTAGCAATCATCAATCCTAAATGTTAAACTGTTATTTAATCTTAAATAATCAAGTGCTTTCAATGTTGGGATATATTATGATGATTACTTATGTGGAAATCACCAAACTGCATCATGTGGTAAGCTCCAACTTGGAATTCTGAAATGAAGCGGAAAAGAGGAAGGCCGAAGAACACATTACGTCGAGAAATAGAAACAAATATGAAAAAGATAAATAACAACTGGAAAGAGCTGGAAAGGATTGCCCAGGACAGGGTTGAATGGAGAATGTCGGTGAGCGGCCTATGCTCCTACACGAGTAGTAACAGGCGTAAGTAAGTAAGTAAGGTATTGTTTCGCTTGAATCTTTCCATTGAAGTTTAAGACTATAAATGATCAGTCTCCTATTAAAATATGTGTATAATGTGCTTATTGCCTCGATATAACCTTAATTCACAAGCCTTGTAAGCAAAGATGGATAGTGGCTAGCAGTGGAATCTCGGACGCGCGTTTCGTCCTATTTGGAGCTCGTCAGCTGAATGTACCTTCATCTCGGATTTGATGATCACTATGGGACCCGAACCCAGTACCATTAGCTTCAAATGTCATCGCATTATCCTCTCACCTACTGAGTCCTAGAGTGAACATCAACTCTGAGATGCAAGTACATCGAGATGACGAGTTCCAAATAGGACGGAACGTGCGTCCTGGATTCAACTGCTAGCAACTATCCATCATTTCTTTTGTCTGTTTATATGATTAACTTCTGACGTTACAATATTTTGTAAAATACGAATTCGGTAGCTTTAGTAAACTTTGGTATCAAATTTCACTTCATTCTGAAAGACGTATTATTCACTAGGGTATGGAAGCAGTATTGGTTTCATTTAAATGAAAGATTATGAATAACATATTTTACTACCTATTTCGTTGAATATCATTATTCATAGTCAACAACTGTATAAAAGATTGAATAGAGTTATCAAATATGTTTAACAAATATTTTAGCTTACATTGAATTCTGTCAGCTGTCCTCCATGCAATACTTTGCACTGTAGTCCGTCGTATGAGTTCCGGATAATATTGACAATCTTCTCAGGAACTCCGTAGTGTCGAAGAAGTTTCCATAATGTCCTCCTATCTACACTGTCGAATGCCTTTTCATAATCAATGAAGTTGATGTATAGTGATGAGTTCCACTCAACTGATTGTTCAACGATGATCCGTAGTGTTGCAATTTGGTCTGTGCACGACCGATCCTTACGGAATCCAGCTTGTTGATCTCGAAGTTGGACGTCTACCGCATCCTTCATCCGGTCCAGCAACACTCTGTTGAAGACCTTCTCTGGTATGACAGTAGTGGAATGCCTCTGTAATTTTCACATTTGCTCAGAGCTCCTTTTTTGGAATCTTGACGGGGTTTCCTTCTTTCCAGTCCATCGGCACTTGTTCCTCCTCCCAAATCTTTTGAATAGAAGGTATAGCATGCTTGTGGTTGCTTCGATGTCTGATTTCAGTGCTTCAGCTGCATTCCAAGTAAGGACTGGAGTCAGACAAGGCTGTTTACTCTCTCCCTTCCTCTTTCTTCTGGTGGTCGACTGGATTATGAAGACCTCAACATCTGAAGGAAAACACGGAATACAATGGACAACTCAGAATCAATTAGACGATTTGGACTTCGCAGATGACCTAGCCCTCCTATCACGTACACACGAACAGACGCAGATGAAGACAGCCAGTGTAGCAGCAGTCTCTGCATCAGTAGGCCTCAGCATACACAAAGGGAAAACCAAGGTCCTCAAATTCAAAGCGGAGAACAGCGATCCAATCACTCTTGATGGCGAAACTCTGGAAGATGTAGAATCCTTCACATACCTGAGAAGCATCATCGATGAACAAGGAGGTTCAGATGCAGACGTAAAGGCAAGGATCGGCAAAGCAACGACAGCATTCCTACAATTGAAGAACATATGGAACTCAAAACAACTTTCAACCAATATCAAAGTGAGAATCTTCAATACGAACGTCAAGGCAGTTCTACTGTATGGAGCTGAAACTTGGAGAACTACAACAACCACAATCAAGAAAGTACAAGTATTTATAAATAGCTGCCTACGCAAGATACTCAACATCCACTGGCCGGATACCATCAGCAATAGCCTACTGTGGGAGAGAACAAACCAACTTCCAGCTAAAGAAATTAGTAAAAGTCGATGGAAGTGGATAGGACATACATTACGCAAATCGTCAAACTGCATCACGAGGCAAGCCCTAACTTTGAATCCTGAAGAGAAGCGAAAAAGAGGAAGGCCAAAGAACACATTGCGTCGGATTATAGAAGCAGATATGAAAACGATGAATTACAACTGGACGGAGATCGAAAGGATTGCCCAGGACAGGGTTGGATGGAGAATGCTGGTGAGCGGCCTATGCTCCTTCACGAGGAGTAACAGGCGTAAGTAAGTAAGTAAGTAAGTAAGTAAGTAAGTAAGTAAGTAAGTAAGTAAGTACATTGAATTGATCTTGAAAGATAGTATGCTAGATTCCTTGAAAGTGAAACAACAGGTCATTAAGGAAATTATGATCTGAATACAATTTCTTTTAACCTTACTGAGTAATAAAACTGCTTTTCATGAGTAGTAGGAATTTAAACATGTTACTTATTTGTTAATGAACAAGTATTCTTCATTTCTCAATGGTAATTTCTAAAGAATTTATCTTCGGTTATGATAATCAGTTAACATCCACTGATAACCATTCCATAATGTTCAAGGATAAATAACATTTTTATTTCATGATTACCAAATTTCAACAACAAATATGAATGTAATAGTTGAATTTATGAATCATTAAAAGTTAGACCACCATAGACAACCGTTTCATCCTAATATTGGACTTCTATGCATTTTGTATACAAGATTCCGGTCGCAGGATTCGAATCCAGGACCTATCGGTCACACGCGCTAACGCCTAAACTTTAAACCACTGAGCTAGCATCTAATACTTCCAAGTTTTCCATAGTGGTCTAGCTTTAATTGATTAGGGATAGAAATATGTTTAAATTTTTTTATGCATCGAGTCAATGTTGTTTTAACAGAAAATGTATTAAGGCGATGTGGTCATAAAATCAGATCAATGAATTAGTCTAAACAACAACAACGACGACGACAACAACAACAACGACGACGACAACAACAACAAAAAAGGTTCAATTTCATTAAATATTTTTCACCTTTATTCAGAAATGAATAAAAATGTCACTATCCAGGGTAATAATAAGTGAACAATTGATTAAAATTACAAGTTTATTACATAATTTTCTGTATAAATTTAGCCGGGTACAAATTAATTTGGTGGAGTTTTAGTTTATTTTATTTTTTGCATATAAATTAAAATAAACAATCGGAAATACAGAGTTAAACCACACTTTATTCTAGTCACAATTGAAATTTGATTCTGAGTGTAAAATCAGTCAGTCAGTCAGTCAGTTACAACGTAGAACCAGGCACATAAATGCATCGGTTCAAGTGGCCGTACCTCACTCATTAGCACAACAAGATGAACAGCGAATTCATAGGAGTAGTTAATTCAATAATAGTAATGTATAAAACAAAGATGGCATATAAAGATATAGTACAAGAAGAAATAAGTGGTTGATAGAAAGAGAGATATAAAGCGATTTTAATCCCATAGTTTAAGGGAAAACAAAGGATGTATACACCGACGCCATTGTGATCGATTCTGAAACATATCACCAAGAGTTTCCAACTATTGTTTATGATAGTCACACGGACCACAGCCGAGTATTATGTATCTACCAACATGGCTAAGACCAGAAGGTAGTGACCTCGAGGACTGATGCCAGGTTTTGATTTCGCCACCCTTGACATTCTTCCAACCATCCACAACACTAGTCAGCATTTTGTGTCGTGATAATCTGTGTTCAAGCATGTGTGACACGTGACCCTACCATGTCAGTCGAAGGAGATTCACAACCTCATGAACTGATTTACCATCATTCCCTAATACCCTGCATCTAACCTCACTATTACTCACCCAGTGATCATGGCAGATGTGAGCAATATTTCTAAGACATCTGTAGTCTAATACTATAAACTTACGAGTATCTTCTATCCTTAATGGCCCTGTTTCGCAGCCGTAAAGTAGAACGGAACGAACTGCTGCTCAGTATACTCGTCCCTTAATTGATAGACGGATATCTCACTTTTGCCATAGGTGTCGTAAGTTGACAGAATCCAAAAGAGCATTCTGAATCCGTGCTGAGATTTCGTCAGATACCAATCTATTCGGGCTGATACGACTTCCGAGACCAGAGAGTAAAGTAATCGGTTTCTTTTTACCAAGGATTCTTAAATGTTATTTAAAT